ACCCTGCGCTCATTCCTTTGGGGAAATTGCAGTTTGGCTGTTCACCACATCGGGTTATGCCACTTCTGAAATACAGCTTGCTACCTTTCAAAATAAAATGGGGTCCTCTGTGAATAAAATGGAGTCTCTATGTATTCAATGCTACATCATGAAAAAGAGCTGAACAGATGGCTTTTTTTTTTTTTTGCGCCACATTTGCAAAATGTGTTTGGGGTATGTGTGTGTGTGTGTGTGTGTGTGTGTGTGTGTGTGTGTGTGTGTGAATTAGGTCACAAGAATGCTTACAGAATTTATTTCAGAAAGTCACCGGGACACTGCAAAAGGACAAGGAAGTGTTTTCTTGTGGAGCTGTAGCCTTTCAGATTTGCAGGATGTCATTCATGTCATACACAGGTTGTTCTCAGCATGAGGAACGGCAGTGACCAGAAGTGACTCTTGGACAAGAGCTGGTGGCTCTCCAGAAGATGCTGGGTTGGCCTCACTAAGGATGTCACTTAATACAATAATCTATAATTGATTCTAGTGTCTTACTGGGATTGGATATTTCAGTTTGTTTTGTTAATATTCCCACCATTCCTCAGACTGGGAATTTAAAGACTAAAAACTATTCTATGGCACAATTTCACAGGAACTCATTTATTTATTAGAAATAAATTATCCTAATCTAATACAGATTGTAGTCGTGGCTTTGAATGAATTCACATCTCATAACTGAGTCTGTCAATGCCCATCCATACCTCACGGGACCGACTGGTAGGGCACCTGTAACTTGACTGGATGATTCCCAAACATACCAAGGGCTTCCTTCCTGAAGCACCCATATGTCCTTCTCAGGCCAAGGGTGTTGCAAGCCGGAAGTTCCAGTATGTGAGCATCCTTGTGAACAACAGGCAGCAGGCATTGGTAAGTAAGTCCATGGCTGCCTGGCTCCTGGCAGATTAGTTCTGAGGTGTGTCCTACACAGTCACTAACAGAGATCCCAGACACCTGAACTCCACAGTAATGAATTCACTAATTCACTCTTTATTAGCAAATCCTTCTGTCTACTGCCTCACAGTCCCACTGGCTTTCCCAGGTTCTGCTTCCGGAAGAGCTTAAATATATGAAAAACCTTGTCTCTAGATTGCTTTTGGTGGGGGGTGGGGAGGATCTAAACTAAGATACTTTAAAGCATTAGCAATTTTTCTTATCTTAGTAGAGTTTTGGGGTTGTTCGTTTTGGGGGGGCTTTTTGTTTGTTTGGTTTTGGCCTTTTTATGTTTTATGTCAAGTCTGGAAGTTAAAATCACCAATCAGGTCTGGATTTCATGCCTGGCTTCCTGGCTAATTAGCTGAGAACTTGGAGTGAGTGATTTAACTTCTCTGACTTTCAGTCCTCTATAAAGCAGGGGTTGGAACACCACCTACTGAGGTTGCGTCTGGTATGTTAGATAATACACTCGACACACTGCCCAATTCAGTGTCCTGTTCTTACTAGAGACAATTGTCTAATAGGAAACAATGCCAGCTGCGGTTACGTGGTTTCATAGCTCTCGGTTATAAAAGGCTTTTTTGTTGTTGTTGTTATAAAAGACTTTTACTGCTGCTAAATTCATCTAACGTAATTAGGCTTCACACAGGCTCACGGGGTGGGAGGGTAAGCAGCCAGTTACTGAGAACAATAGATCAAGAAAGACAGAAGAGCCGGGCGGTGGTGGTGCACGCCTTTAATCCCAGCACTCGGGAGGCAGAGGCAGGCGGATCTCTGTGAGTTCGAGGCCAGCCTGGGCTACCAAGTGAGTTCCAGGAAAAGGCGCAAAGCTACACAGAGAAACCCTGTCTTGAAAAAACAAAAAAAAAAAAAAAAAAAAAAAAAAAAAGAAAGAAAGACAGAAGAAACTTCCTGTCACTGTCAACTTTCTGATGTTTGCCATTCACCAGCTCCATGGTACCTTTCCAGAGGTGCAGCAGAAGCCCCAGGATTCTCACAAAGCCTCCCCGGGGCCACTCAAGCTACGTGGGCTTTCTTTTCCTTCAGTGGTCCAGCCACAGGACTCTCTGTAACACGTGACCCCATGCAAGACCCTGGCGGTGGCTCAGGTAAAGTCAGATACATGGTCAAGTAGTATTCTAGATATTTTGGTGAATTTTTTAAAATTATGATATTAGCATAAAAATAGGCAGACCTTGAACAAAGGTTTTACCCTTACCTAATTATCTAAGATCTTAACTGAAAATAAAAAGACCAACTTTACCTAGAAGGAGAAGGAACTCTGCCGTCAGGCTGCCTGTGGACTTGGACTACAGCTTTCCTCCGGCCTCCGGTCCACCAGGCTACGCTACAATTAAAAAGTCCATTTTGTAAATCTCTTTCTCCCATCTCCACATATATATGCATACACACACATGCTATTGATTCTTTCTTAGCAGAAATATGACTTGTAAGATCATCATAAAATTATATATATACATACACACACACACACACACACACACACACACACACACACACACACACACACATATATATATATATATATATATATATATATATATATATATATGCATACATGTATCCAAAATTCAGTGTTAGGAAATGGAACAATAAATCAGACGGTGGTGGTGCATGCCTTTAATCCCAGCACTCGGAAGGCAGAGGCAGTCAGATCTCTGAGTTCAAGGGCAGCCTGGTCTACAGAGTGAGGACAGCCAGGGCTACATAAAACAAAACAAAGAAACAAAATAAAAAACAAAAACAAAAAACAAACAAAGAAATAATAGAAGAAGACTAGAAGAACAATAAAAATAATCTATGGATGGCATTTAAAAGCACATTTATTTGAACTAGAGAGATGGCTCATGTTTAGGAGTATTTTCTGCTCTTTCAGAGGACTCAGGTTTGATTCCCAGTACCATGTGGTGGCTCACAGCCATCTGTAACTCCGGTTCCAGAAGATTCAATGTCCTCTTCTGACTCCTCTGGCACCAGGAACACAGATGGTTCACAGACATATATGCAGGTAAACCAACCATACACATAGCATGAAAATATTTTGAAAAGAACATGTTTACTGATAGTTGAAGTTATTTTAACTTCACAAATACAAGTATATAAGACTAAATTCACAAAGCAATATAGAAATTATTTTTTCTTCTGAACTATATTTCAGGATCAGGAAAGCTAATCTATCCTTACCTCCCTAGCCCTTCCATCTTAGTTTTCTGTTTTGTTTTTAATAACAGCATAAGGCCAATTTATTCTGGCCATATACTTCTAGGAATGAGAGACCATCCATGAGAGTACGTCGACCTACCAGAGGCCATACCATTAAAAAATGTCCCTACTTCCCCCCAAAGCCACCAACTGTCAATAGCCCCTCTACTTGGAGTCAGGACTCATACTAGAACATTGACTGGCTTGATCTTGTGCAGATCTTGTCCAGCCAACAACGGCTGTGAGTTCATGAGTGCAGTGGATCTGTCACGTGCAGAAGACACTGTTTCACTCTGGTCCTCTTGGCCTTCAGTGTTTCTATACCTCCTCATAACACTTGCTGTATAACAGGTGAAGTTAAAGACCCACGTAGAGCCATCATGGGGACCTCTTGTCCCTCGTTCATAGCAGCGACTCCAGAATGTTTTCAGATGATACTGTTACCCACTACAGATACCTCTGTCCCAGAGCTCTCAAGTTCCCCAAGGCTTCTTGTCCTGGAGACTCTTTCAAAAGAAAGCCATCGAGTGTGGCTAATTTAGATGAGCACGTCCAACAAAATGATTGTTAGGTTATTGGATAGCACAGTGAGCTAGAAGGGCAGTTGGAATCTAGGCTTAAAAAACAGACAGGAACTATCCAACAGATGGCAGGACCAATGGACAAATCCATAGTCCCAATGACATCACAGTAACCATTTGCTGCTTGTCACCCAACCAGAACCTTGTATTGATGAACATTGGCTACAATGAGGTAACCAACTTAGGCTATCCCCTGACCCTCACTCACATAGGGCCATCTACTTAGCCAAGACTAAGCCACACATCTCCCCCTGCTCCCAACTCCACATATATTAGCCATAGAGGAGCTTCCACCATGTGTGGCAGGGGCTTCTTCTTATTATTATTATTATTCAATAAAGGGAACTTTATACTAGAGTATTTTTATGAAATTGTTGTCTTTAGTAGAAATTAGAGCAAGTTAAGTTATGTGGAGTTGAAGATTGAATGGGGCCATCATGATAAATTGGTAGTTATGATAGTTCTATAATCTTGACATAGTAGGTCAGTGCCTCTTTATAGAATTTTTTCCAATAACATGACCCACATATATAAAGTCATAGAGTTACAAATGTGGTTGAACTGAACAACTTTTAAAATTCACGAGGAACACTACAAAGATATTGTGCTATCATATACTCTTATAGTTGTTTTTCAAATGATTGGTTTATATTTATTGTATCCAAGGGATTGAAATTTCCTTTGGGGCATCAGGGAGACTGTAATTTACTTTCTTAGTCTCCACAGAGTTCTAGTCAATAAGTAAAGCATTGGCCAGTTGACTAATGAATGTACAAGCACTATGCTTTGCTTTCTTAGTGGCTGCTTATTTGCATCTACGATCCCCTTTCATTGTTACACGAACACGGACACGAAGAGGGGTCTGTGGCTTTAGAACGTCCTTGTTCACTGGAGTTGAGTTACCATCTTGTTTGATTCTTCCAAATACAGAGCTCACCCATCTCAGATTCTATGAATCCAACTTAGTGGTGACAGATAGAGCAAAATCGCACTCTAGGAGGATGGCAAAGGCAGCCCCAGCAATAGATGGTTGAAAATTAGATCCAACCTCCTGAGGTGGACCTGGTGGGTGTTCCTACCTACTGGGAAGATTAAGGCAGAGAGGTCGCAAGTTCAAGCCCTGCTTGGGTATAGAGTAAGTTCAAGGCTGTAGCGCCTGCACTACCACCATTCACCATGTCTGAGCGAGGGACTGAGGATTAAAAACAGAGACAAGACAGCAGCTCATTCATTTCAGTAGAATGCTGTTTATTAAAGGAGAGAAGAGGCCTTAAATACAGGCTCACAGCACAGTGGGAGAACCCCGGAGGGCAGAAGTTCGCTACAGATGTTTTACATACTTGCCTCCTAGCTGTTTACACCGAATATGCAGGATACACAAACAAGGAACCTCTGGGAAGCTGTTCAGGAGGAAGGAAACTGGCAGGGAATTAGCATAGGGAGGACATCTGATCAAGGTCAGCCAGCAAGGCAACAACTACTCAAGGAACAGAACCCGGGTCAGCCCAGAAAAGACCCTGTTTCACAAAAGAAAAAGACAAGATCAGAGACCTAGCTCTGTGGCACAGCACTTACATAACACAAGCCTGTGACCTTGGTAAGTTCCTCCCTTCTGAGGATTGCTTCTGAGCAGAGGTTCCTAATGGTCTCTGCTCCATCCCAGAGTGAACCTGAGACCAGAGAATTAAATGTCTGGCCTCTGGCAAGCACTCTAAGAATGCTAATCATTGTTACTCCCACTTGGGCTTGTAAGAATGCTTGTTTCAACATGAGCTCATCCATTCTGTTCTTGTTGCCCCAGTTAATTTTGCTCTGAACTGTTGGCCACACCCCTTCTTGTTAGGTCCTTAAGGCAGGGTAAACAATGACACCACAAAGAGCTGGGTATTTGGACAGCACACATAAAACTGTGAACCTGTTAGTAATTTAAGTTTTAAGATAGCAGAATGAAGTGTTTCTCAAGCCTTTGTAGATATCACAGCGATAAGAAAGTAAATGGGGGTGTGGAGCACTTCTGTATGATGAAAATATTCATGATCGACATTTTAATGGCTTTTAAATAGATCCACTGGGGCATGTTTGCACTATTAGTACCATTTTGTGTTTCATTCAGGGTGGGATGAGTTTTGTTTTGTTACTTATGTAAAGGTTTTTTCTTTCTCCCTCCCTCCCTCCCTCCCTCCCTCCCTTTCTCTCTCTCTCTCTCTCTCTCTCTCTCTCTCTCTCTCTCCTCTCTCTCTCTCTCTCTCTCTCTCTCTCTCTTGTTTTTTTCAAGACAGGGTTTCCTTGTGTAGCCCTGGCTATCCTGGAACTCCCTTTTTAGACCAGCCTGGCCTCGAACTCACTGAGATCTACCTGCCTCTGCCTCCCGAGTGTTGGGATTAAAGGCATCCGCCACCACCGCCTGGCTACTTATGTAAAGTTTTTACAGACAATTTATAGCGTCAATTCCTAGAATGGGTTATTCTCTCATGGACACTGAAGGGCACATTGTAATAATAAAATTCTGCAATAGGCCTTCATATCATACATACTCTGCCCTACCACTGAGAACCAGTAAATAAATTCACAACTGGTTTATGTTGTGAACACAACAGTGTGTATTTATGGTGAATTACCCACACAGTACCCATTTCTACCTTACTGTGTTCTTGTGAAATGGCTTACGTCTAGGGTTCTGGATGAGAACTTGCTTCCCCCAGGGACTGGAAATTCATGGAGGCCTCCTTGTTGGTGAGCTGATGGCTCACTGGTGCTTGCAGATGGACTTGGCATTCCACTGTCTAGTTATCAGCTTCCTGGTAGCCCAGGTGGAGCATTCGGTGTCAGCGTCTGGTCGCCAGCCACAGCAGAAGCCAGGCACCTGTGGGAACAGCAGCAGTTTTCTGACCTCTGTGTTACAGTGTCTGTCCTTGAAATCCACACCACCAGGCAGATCCTTGTCTTCTGTTCCTTGAATCCAGCCAATCGTTTTGTGAGTACCTGATTTCCTGCTTTAAATCCTTCCTATCTAATGCTTAACGGTGTCTTTTTCCTGCACTGGATTCTATATGGATATCGAGAATAACTAAGAGCTGTATGGGCTTTGGAGCAACATTCAAGTTTATAGCACTAGAGTAATACTTGGAAGTAGGAAAGAATACAATGTGTACAATAACTTGTGATTATTTATACACAGAGAAATCATAGAAGGTTATATATTTTTTTAAAAAGTCAATATTTATTTCTAGAAAGCCAAAGTGGGGTCTAAGAGAGAGACTTACATTTTAAGCATGTATCTCTTAAACTAGATTTTTAAAAATCATTTTCATGAAATACATGCTTTCTTCTTTTTTGTTTTTTAGAAAATACATGTTTTCCAATTTAAGAATTTTAACTATAGAAAAATAACAAATTTCTTTAATAATTTGAACACATAACAACATATTGAACTGGGTTGGTGAGATGGCTCAGCAGATAAATGTGCTCAGCACGCAAAGCTAACATCCTGAGTTTGATTTTCAGAAACCACAGTAGGTAAGAACTCCCAAAAATTGTCCTCGGACTTACACACATACACACACCGTAATAATAAACTCCATTAATTAAAACATCACCTTATCATGTATCTTTTTATACATTTTAACTTTAGCCCCAGCTGGCCTGGGACTCAGAGGTCTACCTGCCTCTGCCTTCTGAGTGTTGAGATTAAATGTGTGCACCACCATGCCCAGTATTATAACCTTTTTTACTTCTGACTTACAGTACACCGGGCATAGTCTTAGAAATTCTTCGAATCATCTTTCATTGGAACGAAGGTGCTGTTTACTCTAAGGCATAGTATTACATAGTATTAAGGAAAAAGTAAAACCCAGAGCCTGCCCACCAAATGTAATACACAGAAACTATGGGCGGCTTTTGTTCTGTTTTCGGGTTGAGTCACGTGTCTCTGGAAGTTGAGCGACTTCTACCTAAACAGGAAATTTATGATGCGTTGGTGATTGACACCTTAATGATGGCTCTTCGCAAAGCACGACTTGGTCACAGCAGCCTGTCATTACTTAGGAATGCCTTTCACGCTTCCAAGGCATTGCAGGTTCCTTAGCGCTGGCTGGTGAATGACAGACGTTCTCAGTCACCCGGTGTAATTGGCATCCTATCTGGGGTAGCTCTACGTGAGTTTATGCAACTGCAGTCTTGGTGGGGTTTTACATTTTAATTTTTAATTATGTGTGCGTGTGTGTGTGTGTGTGTGTGTGTGTGTGTGTGTGTGTGTGTGTGTGTAGTGCAGGTGCCCTTGGAGACCTTAAGATCGAATCAGATCTCCTGGAAATGCAGTTATAGGTAGTAACTAAGCTGTCCAGTGTGAGTGCTGGGAACCACACTTGGTGTTTAGCAAGAACAGCAGGGGCTCTTAACCACCCAGCCTTCTCTGCAGCCCCTGAATACGGTTTTCATCAATGGTTACAATGAAGCTCTTCCGATCTCCTTCTGAGTCTCTGTACACGTGGAACTTCTGTTTCTGTGCTGAATCACAACGGAATTTTAAAAGGATTATAAATGGAAATTCAATTCAAATTATGTGGCATCACGATGCAGATGATTCAATTCGAAAGACAACCAAGTGTATGGGCAGAGACAGCGGCACCTGTGAAAGAGCAGCCGAATGCCACCAGTCATGTCACAGCCCAACGCCAGAGTCCTTAAGAGGTGAAAATCAATTGTCCTGAGCCTATGTGAAAATGCAGTACTATTCTTTTGATCCTCAAATAACCTTTCAATCACTTCTATTACATCTCCGGTGAAAAACAATAGGATTATCAAGATGTATAGTTAGTAAGAAGCAGGTCCTTTTAAATGGAGTTAGTCTGGTCCCAGGGCCCAACTATCTTGTCTCCTCATTGTCCTAAGACTTTCTTTCATTGTGACCCTATATTCATAATTATAGCAGCTTAACTCCATCAGAAGGAAAAAAATTAAACATTATCAAAGATTACATAACTAGATTGTTTCCATTTTTAATCATAATCTGTACAATAGTTACCATACTAACACATATGCTTTCTACACTCAAAGGATACATTTTAATATAAAGATCATACTCATCCTAAAAACTTTGGATACTGCAGAACTGAGAAGTAATCAAATAAGATTGTTATAATCTTATCACCTGTAGGCAGTCATTACCAACATGATAAGTTTCTTTTAAAAATTTCCACATGTTTTTCATATAGTTGAGATTATAGCGGAAATATTTTTGCTGTCTTACTTTGTTTATGTAGCACATTGTAGTTGTTTCTTTGAGCTACTAGAATAAATGACCGCAAATGCTGTCGCCTCCAATAGTAGAGATGTATTCTCTCAGATGTGCGGTATTCTCCCCATTATAAACAAATTTTCCTGGAGTGAGACACAGAGGTTAGAGTTCATATCTGAGGGTTGATCCATACCGTGCATGTCAGAAGAACAATGCAAAATGCACAGTACATTGAAGAGTTGGGAAATGATGTTAGAACCTTTTCAATGGAGCCAATAAGAACACGAACAATAGATTGGTGTTTCTACAGTAGCATAGCTTAATAGAGAATATGATTGGCAGAATTAGTGAACCTGCCCGTAGTGCTGATAATTTTGTAGTGTGTGTGTGTGTGTGTGTGTGTGTGTGTGTGTGTGCAGATGCCAACACCATGGCATGTTTGTGAAGGTCAGAGAATAACTTTGAGGAGTTGGTTCTCTCCTTCTACTTCTACATGGTTTCAGGGATTGAACTCAGGTTGCCAGCCCTGTGCCGCAAGCACCGTTACCCACTGAGGCAGCCCAGGGCTGCTAGTTTTGACAGCAAAACAGTTTGCTGATTTGGGGAACATCAATGAAGACACATTATATCTTTCAAGTTATAATATGGAATTAGCTTGTTGTATTAAAGACTTTTCTATATGTTTTTTGCATATACGTTTTACCATATATTGACAAAATCTTATAGTTCTTAGAAATAGTCTTTTTTTAAGAAAAAAGTTTGTTGGTTGGTTGGTTTGTTTTTTGCAAGATGGGGCCCTGGGATCAGTAATTTAAGCAGTCAAGAAGCAGGGGACTGCTTTGACAGCTGCTGAAGGGTCACATGCCAGGGGCATCTTCTAGAAATACAGGGACAGCACATCTGAAGGGAGGAATTCCTTACCTCAGGGACATGAGCCCTTTGAAAGCAGCCTTGTTGTCTCCAGAGTATTGGTTCACTACACAACCCAGAACCTGCTGCAGTGGCTCAGGAACCTAGCCGAAGGCCAAGCAATGGTTTTCCTCTGAAGGCCGCCGCCTCGGCCACCATGGGGCAGGGTCGTCGTTTGAGGAAGTCATCACCTGTTGAAGCTAGAGTCCTCAGTGTATCACTTCTGCTCCACACCTCTGGCCTCCTCCATGTGTGGTGTTGATTCATTAGCTAGAAAGGGGAGGCATATTAAAATTATCATTAACCTTTTCTTTTGACATGTAATCAGCCAGGATTTATGAGATGCTAAAGGCTCCAATGTCTGCGAAAGGGAACATAAATGTATAAATGGGAGTATTTTCGTGATATTGAGCTTGGAATAATACAGCCATTGGTTTTCATTGCGGCACTGTGGATCTGATATGTTTTTATTTCCAGGTGGGTAATGACCTGCTAAACAAATTAGATATATTATTCTAGTCCATCCTGGACTAGAGATCTATTTCAGCTTTGCCTTACCAAGCTTTCCAATCAGATCAGATGAAGTCAATGCAGAGTATTATAAAGTGTAAACCCACTTTCCTCACCATTTTTAATGCTAATTTGGGGGGATCGATTATCATGATTCAAAATTCTATTGTCAAGAGACAAACATTTTAGTTGAACCCATTGACTTTTAAGGGAAAATGTACTATCAAAGTTTACTTAGACCAGACCTCGTAACTGTGAGACCAAAATGAGCCATCTTAGAAATAAGACCAAAATGCTTTCACCCTAAAACTAAGGCCTGAGATATCTCCTTTTAGGTACAGGCCATGAGTTACTAAAACCAGTCAGTTCAGATTCCAGAAACCAGGAAGTGTAAAAGTACAGAGACACAAGATAGTCAGGAAGTAATGCCTGCCAGACTATGGAATGTCCTCTCCCTGGTTTCCAGGGTAACTGACCATAAAAATGCCCCCACCTGAGGGCAGCCAATGAGAAATAGTGGCAGGCAACCACTCCCTTGCAAGTAATTTCTAGAAGTACCTAGAAGCGAGCCAATCAGAATCTGTACTAGCATCCCTAAACGATGTAACCTTGTGATTTTTCCCTTTAAAAACTGAGCTTGCGGACAGGTGGGCGCTTCCTCCGGCCTCCACTGCGTTGGATGTATTGGACGAAGTCCCTGCCTAGGCTTGTATTGCTTTTGGATATCCAGAATTAAACCTTGCTTTTGCATTCCAGCATGCTCGTCTTTGGTGGTCTCTCTGGGGGTCGCGATCTGGGCACAACAGTAACAACTTATTGTTAAATTAATTACATAACCTTAATTAATTTAACTAAATTAAATAACTTTACAAGCAAATTTTACCAACTAATAGTTTTCTTGTAAAAAATTATTTTATTTTTAGTTATGTCTATGTGCATCTCTGTGTGTGTGTATATGTGAGTACAGATGCCCTCAAAGGCCAGAAGTGTTGGATCTCTCTGGAACTGCAGTTACAGGTAGGAGCAAGCCACCCTCCTTGAATGCTGGAAATCAAATCCATGTCCTCTGCAAGAGTAGGATGGATTCTTAACTACTGAGCTATTTCTCCAGCCCCCTTTTCATAAGATGGAATTAACTTTTAAGTTTTCTTCTTTTTTTTCTTTAAAAAAAAAAAGATTTCCTCTAAACCTGATAGTCTACCTTCCTTAGAAAGTAATAATTATAAGCCAGGCATGGTGGCATATGCCTTTAATCTCAGCACTCAGGAGGCAGAGGCGGCTGGATCTCTATGAGTTCAAAGACAGCCTGATATACATAGTGTTTCAGGCTATCCGGGGCTGCATATGAGACCCTGTCTCAAAAAAAAAAAAAGAAAGAAAGAAAAAAATACTTATATTACAAAAACGAAATAGAGCACAAAGTATCAAATTTTTCATTTCTTTGTGGAAATCTCTAATTGGGTTAAGAAATGAAGTATGAGCAGTTTTCAGCATTGGAAAACTTTCAATTACACTTCGAACAGCACACATTCATTCTATGTGTTGTCAAGAACATAAAACATCCAAATTCACCCTGACTGTCTTTCATCTCGTTTTTTATCGCAGTCTTCTGAATCTTACAAAATCCTCTCTCATGTCAATTAAATCAGATATTTCCTTTAAGTGAGGTATTGGACCATGCCATCTGACTACAGAGATGGAAATGAGCAAGCGAGCCGTCACTCAAGTGTCACTTTCTGTCAGCCTTACCACAGCAAGCTAATTGTTATCATGTAAACTAAGATGCCCCCAACAAGCCCATTTTTGAGCACTTGGTTTCCGAGCTTGGAGAGCTATTTTGAAGTGTACGGAGCCTTTAGGAGATGGATCTGGCTGGCAGAGGTAGGTCATAGGAGCCGGCCTTTACTGGTTCCCTGAGACCAGCCTGCCCTCTCTACTTCCTGGGGTGCCAGGAAAAGTGTATGAGCCCTGCCATGCCTCTGGACTCTCTCTGTGGCCATGGACCGCAGTCCTTTGAGGAGGAAAGCCCTCCACCCCTAAGCTATTTCTGTCGGATATTTTGGTTAAAATGAAACAAAAGTAGTTATTGTAGCATATCACTCTGTTTTTAAATTTCTATCCCAATTTCCAAAACTCAAGCCATATGATGTAAGACATATTTGCTCTATACTTAGCAATCTTCTATGACTTCTCATTTATTTCAGTTCTCAAGAGCTTTAATCTATAATTATCATTCCTGTAACTAATACGAGCGAGTCATAAATACAACTTGCATTCTGTCTATTGCTCTTATCAGATGACTGTGACACAGCATTTTTTTTTCGCTAAAAGTCTAGTATTACAGTCTTTTCAGCTCTACTTTTCATATTTACTTTCCCCAACTGTTTGAATAACATTTTTGTGCCCTATGATCCAATAATTGTTAAAAAGATGTTAGGAAAGTTTTGGTTTTTTTTTAAGGTGTAAAAATCTATGAGTTAAAGGAAGTTAAAAAATTCAGCAAAAAGAAGAAAGCAGTGGGATTTGGCAACTAACCTGAGCTCCTTTCTTTGGGAGGGGGTTCCGAGTCTTTGCGGAGGGGTCCGCGACTTTCTTACAGGACAGTGCCTAAGTGTGAGGCGGGTTGACCTCAGTTCTCCTTGCTCTGTGCTCATCTAGGACGGGGGAAACGGTTCTTAGTTACCTGGCCCGTCGCCTGCTCGCCGTGAACCTGCACAGTCGCTTTCATTTCACATGTCAGCCGCTGTCTTTGCAGGCGCTCCCTGTTTGCTGTGATAGCGATGATTTCTCTTTTGAGAGCTGTGTTTCAAGGTGAAAGCTGATTGTTCCCCTCACCTCCTTGCAAGTGTTCTGTTAAATGGCACCTGCCTGTACTTAAATATTAGGTAGGAGAGCTATTAGGAAGAAAAGCCAGGAGGATGGCGACATAAATATCTTTTCCTCTGTTTGCCGGAGCAAGGTGACCTGGAAGACAGTTGCTGTATTAATGTTAATGAGGATAAACAAGCCCCTCGGCAAGACCGAGGGAGTAGAGCCCAGATCACAATGAATGGCTGGAAGCATGCCAGGCCCTGTGGGTGGAATACAAGCTGCCCTGTCCCCAGAGGCTCGCTGTCCAGCTCTTTCATCCTATGAAGATGATGGAACTCCTCAGAGAGGATAAGCTGAGCATTTTCTCACAATGAGAAGTCAGGCTTTGTGTGGCATAAAGTTTGTCGAAAAATGAAACTTGACTTTTCTAGCAATTAATACTATATCCATCCCCAACTTTTCACTACAAAGCCTTCCCCACTGCTCTCTTGGTTTCTTTCCTATGTTATTCCTTAAACTCTTAAGGTCACCCAGTCAGATAAAGCCTCTGAAAGGTCACCTTTATCACTTAACTGAGACTACAGCCTAAGAGGACACAATTCTCCAAGCACTAGTTGAATGATAACATGTATACAGAGCATCAAGGAAATGAACAGAACGGGGCTCTGGAATGAGGTGGGCCTGAATTAAAGTTCTGGTTCTTCCTTACAAGCTATCTCTGCAACCTTGAGAAAGTATCTTTAACCTTAGCTGTGAAATAAATCCAGGTAACGAAACCTATCTTGGTTGGGCATGGAGGCATATATCTTCAATAACATCATTCAGGAGGCAGAGGCAGGCAGATAGATCTCTGTGAGTACATCTATATGAGTTCCCAGCCAGTGTCAAAAAACAACACATACACACACACACACACACACACACACACACACACACACACACACACACACCAAACAAGCAAGCAATTCTAATAAAATCTATCTCATAAAAGAACTGAAATAACCCACCCAGCGTAGAGCAAGGCACATCGCTCATGCACAATAATTTCATAGTTATAATTGCTTTAAAGGCTGCTGCAGTCTTTCTTGCTCCTGATGCCTGCATGCCAACAGCATGGGTTCGGGTTCTAGCATCGCCAAAATAAAATAAAATAATCCCACTTGGGATTTTCTCTAAGACTACCCCTTAAATAATCCTTAATGTCCAATACTCAGACTGGTATTCTTTATTCTATATTTTTTAAAAACTTATTATCTCTTGTCCAAAAGAACGGGTGAAGATAAGAACTCAGAGTGAATGAGCATCAAACCACTTGGAGAGAAGCAGCCATGCTCAGTTTAGGCAGCCTTAGCTGTACGGGTCATCCCGGCCAATCTACCGCTGCAGCCTCCTATGGGCTGAACACGACTAGGAAGTAGGAGCCCTAGGAAAGAGCACATAGAACAACCTTCCAGAGCAGAGGGAATGTGGCAAGAAATGGAGAGCAGATGTGGAAAGGCATGAACGGTTTCTGACACACATGTACATCTTAACAGCCCAGGCTGCCAGCAAGGCTCCAAAAGGCCACTCAGCTTAAAGAACACACGTTTATTTTCCATGGTTCTTTTTTTTTTTTTTTTTTTTGGTTTTCTCTGTGTAGTTTTGCGCCTTTTCCTGGAACTCACTTGGTAGCCCAGGCTGGCCTCGAACTCACAGAGATCCGCCTGGCTCTGCCTCCCGAGTGCTGGGATTAAAGGCGTGCGCTACCACCGCCCGGCCTATTTTCCATGGTCCTAAAGGCTGGGAAGTCCACAGTCAGGACACAGACACGGTGGATGTTTGCTAATGGTTTTGAGGGCTGATCTTATTGTAACCTTTCATTGCCAGAAACATAATCCTTATGATATCTCTGATTATAAGAGTACTAGTCCCAGAGGCTGGGGTGATGGTTCAGCAGTTAAGAGCACTTACAGCTCTTTCCAGAGGACCCAGATTTGACTCCCAGCACCCACATGGCAGCTTCACAGCTGTTCTAACTCCTGTCCTAAGAGATCAGACTCCCTCTTTTGACCTCCACAGGCACTGCACACTGCACAGATATTCAAGGAAACAAATAAAAATAAAAATAAATAAATAAAGCAAACCACCCATCCAAATAAGATTATAATTAAAGGAAGAAAAAGGGAACTAGGTCCCATGTATGAAGGTTCCACCTTCATGACCAAATTACCTCCCAAAGTTTCTACCTCCAAGGGCCATCATATTAAGGGTTAGGCATTAAAACATGAAGCGCAGAGGGAGAAAATACAAATACAGCTCATAGCCATGTATAAGACCGTCATGGAAAAAAGCATTAACAGTTTTTGTTCCATGTTTATGGGTAAGCTGACTCAACAATCTTCCAAGGACAATGTCCTACAAATTATAAATTTAATACATTTTTTTTAAATATTAAGAGTACTTCACAGCACTCTCTATAAGCCGATTCCAAAATGCATGTGAGTATCAAAACAGATGGACAACTCCAGTTCAATTTTGAAGAACACAGCATGAGATATTTGAGGCTTATTCCAGACATGTATTAATCGAGATATCACTACAGGGGCAAAACAGGAAGTCCCAAGATAATTGACATATAATTGAAGTCACATTATTAATCAATGAATTAGTTAAAGATGGATTTTAATAAATGATGCAGAAAAAAACAGGTTCTCCATATGGAGAAAAGATATTGACTCTTTACCTCATAGACTATAAAAATCAATTTCATGTGAATTAAAGACCTCAATGTGATGGAAAATGAAATGTTTTGAAGTAAATGTAACACTATCTTTATTATTTAGGCATACGGGTAAAATATTTAACAATGTGCAGAAATATTGTATTATAAAATTTTAGATGTTAATAGTGCCTAAGTGCTTTTGGGAGGCAGCAGAACTTTGGGAGGCAGGACCTTAACGGAGGTCATCAGAAGAGGTGCCTTTGAAGGAACTGTGGGATTCTGAGCTCTCTCTCTTCCTTTGTGCTGATTAAAATGTGACCCAAACTGTAGATAATCATGTTCTCTCTATTTCTCTTTAAATTATTTAGATACATTCAATACTTTATTTGTATATTTCATAATGATATTACATTATGAAATGGTATGAAAACAATACTTTTAACCTTTATTAAATTGATTTTATATATGACATACCATTAGCTCACTCGCATACATATACTATTTTTGAAATTAAAAAAATCAGAAGAGGAAAATAAACACATTTAATTTACATGTACAATATGTGTATATGATCCATAAATGAAAATACCAGCAAGTTCAGTTACATTAAAATTAAATATAGGGCTGTCGGGATGACTCAGCAAGTAAAGATGTTTGCCCCAGCCCTCATCACCTGAATTCTATCCCTGGAATTCACACAGTAGGAGGAGAGAACCAACTTCCAGAGTTGTCTTCTGACTGCCATGTGTGCGTGCAGAGAGAGAGAGAGAGAGAGAGAGAGAGAGAGAGAGAGAGAGAGACGTGCACATAAACGTGAGCACATAATAAATACAATGTAATTGTAAACATTTGCGTTAAAATGCACTAGGGTTGGGTCACATAGCTGGGTCATATGACAAATGCTTACAATGCATGCAGGTGGGTTTAATCCTCAACACCTCCCAAAGACGCTCCTGATATGGATATATAGTTTTATTCATAATATTTAAATTTCATTACCATTTGTTTTCCAGCTCTGCTGTGGTCTCTATTTGCATATTAAATATTTGCTATTCACTGCAGGGCATTGAGGCACACTTTTTAATCCCAGCACTTGGGACAGATGTAGGCATATCTCTTGAGTTTCAGGCCAGGCTGACCAACATAGCAAGTTTCAAGACAGCCAGGGCTACAGCATGATCTTGTCTCACCCCCCTACCCCATATTTATATTTATTGTTGCTAACAATAACAATAAATTTAAATATGTATATATGTATATATGCTATTTGTTTATTTGTAGCTCCCCACCCACACCTTCCTTTTCTAAACTACCTAGAGAGAAGGCTAGCTCATCACCATGGAGCCACTTGAACCTGAGTTCCTTCTGCTTCCTTTTGACCATTACCTTACATCACAGCACAGCTTTGCTCGCCGGTCTTCTGCAGTATTTTGGCACAATGCCTTGATATGTAATCCAAGGAACCTTTATGATCTAGGCACCAAGAGCTAGTCACTGATTCCAAAGCTCAGGTTCTTATGTGCCAGGTCTACTGGTAGCTCTTTGAAGCACTAACAATCTGTGCTTTTTAACCATATGAACAAAATTGCCAGTTATCTCTAGACTATGTTCTTCTTCTGGACATTAGATAACTGGAAACTAGGTGAGGCTGAAAGAAAATCACACATACAGGCCACTTTCTCACAGCAGAAGTTTATTTTTGCTAGCACCTGTTAGGGTCCCCGGGAGAAGTTTCACAAAAGACCACCATCCACATAAGCAATCAACAAGAGTGTTTATTATACCAGTATGCTGGGGCCTGCCATCCCACACAAAGGCAAGATGGCGAAGACCCTGGGAGAGATGTTTGAGCTCCTTTTAAGCATAGCCCCTGGGAGAGATGTTTGAGCTCCTTTTAAACATAGTCAAGGGGAGGTCCTAAGGTAGTTAGGTTATTTTTTTTTACAATTGGCTTAAGCATGTGGCAATCATATCAGTACGTTCTAATTGGCCAGGACTTGTTAGAGGCTGGTCAGGGTACAGTTTTCCATTTTGGGGGCAGGCTTGGACAAGTCCCAGGCTCTGTCCTTGAGCTGCTGTGAGGGCTGGCTGGCCCAGCACACACATACTGACTGTGGAGGCTGGCTGGCCTAGCATGTACTGACTGTGGGGGCTGGCTCAGTGGCCCAGGCTTGGTGTATCCTATCTCCCTTGTCCCTGTTGTCAGGGGCACCAGTGATTAATTGCCCTTTGCTTGTGGCTCTTCCTCAGAAACTGCCTGCTCGGTTCCATAAAGCAGGGTCTGAGGCTTAGTTCTCTGAGAGAAGACTGAGCAGCCTGTTATGGTGTCTGCTCGAGTACTCTCAACACCATTAGTTTGCTAAACTTATAAGAAGTTCAAGATAAATGTGCTGGCTAACTTTCTGTCAACTTGACACAGGTTAGAGTCATCTGAGAGGTTGGAACCCCAATTGAGAAAATGCCTTCATAAGACTGGACTGTAGACAAGCCTATAGATCATTTTCTTAATTAGTAATTGATAGAGGAGGGCTC